AAAATACTATTAAAAAAGGAACTCCAATCCAGTTTTTTTAACCAAGGAATCATGATTTAAGACCACACTTTTTGTGCAGCACACCCTAACTGAGTGTCAGTTCACAAAAAGATTAAGACATGACTTAAGGACGAAAGGACGATTATAAGAACAAGCAAGGACAAACCCTAAAAAGATCCTCAAAGAACTTGGAACTTTGTTAACTGAGTGTCAGTTAACAAAGGATGTTAATAAGATAGTCCTAAGGAGCAAATGTTGGAATAAGTGCATGGCCTCAAGACATAAGTTAAGGACAAAAGGACGCAAGGACGATTATAAGAACAAGCCGAAGAAGGACAAACCCACAAAAAGATCCTCAAAGAACTTGAAAAGACATGACTAAGAACAAGCATCCCCTAGGCAAGGCACAAGCTAGTTCTTAATACTAAAAGGGTTACGATTAGTGTACTAACACAAATGGAGCTAAGAAATTTCCTTTTAATACCTAGAAATTATTAGGTGAGGACATACGCTCCAAGCTTATGATTTTGGAGAATTTGAGTTTTATTAGTATTCATTAGCATTGAGTTTTCAAAGACATATGTTTAACTTAGCGTTAAGGCAAGAAAAGTGAGTTTCATAAGCTTTCAGATTGGTGTCATATGAAATTTCCCTTGTGTAATATTGTGGTGTGTTACTTCGACAAGGCAAAAACAATCACTTACTCCTAAATTCTAGCTTTCCATTTTTTAATTTTTATGTGTGTTTTGTCCTCTTAAGCCTTTTTCATGTTAGGTATTTTAGATTTTTGCATTAGCAAGTTTGTGCTTAGTTTCATCAAATTTACATTAGTAAGTTTTTGCTTAGTTTCAGGACCTCTTTAAAATTGTATGGAAAAGTAGCAAGATAATTCAAACTTGCAACATGGTACATGAAAAATCTGATTAGAACTAGACTCCAACTCAATCGATGAAGCCTTCATTCATAGCTATCTATCATTCATTGTGATAAAATTTTATTCGAAACCTTCATAGCTGCTATTCTCTCTGGTAAAACTGTCTATCCAGAATATTTGTAATTGATCTGCATATTGATGCAGACTACCTACCGTAGATTGATTCTTATATTGAGTTCAACTTACTTATTGATTCTCTGCAAGCCCTTGATTAGCTTTTCACTTTCTTACTATTACAAAGATCCATGGTGTGCTGGAGGTGATTTTAATGTCACTCATTGGGTCTAGAGCGTCATCATACTAGAACGCATACTAAGGGAATGAAGAATTTTAAAAAGATCATTGAGGAGACTGGTTTGATGAAAACTTCCCTTCTGAATGTCAATGTGTGGAAGGAAATAGAGTGTTGTTTTGATGCTGAAGCTGCGAGTTAGGATCTTTGTAAGAGCTAAACATTCTACCGATTGGTCTTTGGTTTAATAACTATTTAGTTTTTGACTCTTACTTTTTAAAAATTCTGTAATACTAATTTCATCGATCCATTTTCTTATTTTGTTATCTATTTGTTAAAATTTTAGAATGAGCTTTAAATTGTGTGCATCATGTAGTCAATATCAAGTCATTTGTGGTGCAATTGCTTATTCAAATAGAAAATTACCACAAGTCAACTACTTGTATTCGATAAAAAATTACATGACATAATGTAATTTTCATATTTTTTATGTTCTTCCCTGATTATTGGATGAGTTTAAATTTTATATTTACAGATATTTCTAAATAATTGAGGGCACAATATGTTGATAATTTTATTTATTTTTTTTCTAACAACGGTTTTAATTAAAAAAAAATTATTGTTAGGTACATGTTCTTAAAATGATCTAAATCATAAGTTTGTCCGGTTGATTTAAACAAATATCGAAGTATCATAAAGCAACTTTAAAGTGATTTTCAATCAATCAATCAAAGTTATGAGGGACAGGAGAAACATTGGGATAGGGCTTTCATAACACCACCATCTGCCAAGTGACACTGTCTTCAACCTCAAGCAGTCCCCAATTCATGCAGCTGCTTCTGCAACACTTCACATGGTAGCTGTTTTGATGAGAGGACACAACAAACAGAAGCAATCTGCCAGATACTGCATTTCATTCAGCATCAGCTGCTCGGGAACACATCGGGCGCGGTTTTCATTTCAAAACGGCTGTTGGTTTTCGAACGGTAGCTCCACAGGAGTTGCATTGCCGTAAAACTCTTCCAAGTTGTAGAATGCCCTCTGCTGGGGTAGAAATATATGGATAACCACATCTCCTGAGAACAAAAACAACAAGGTCGATCATGCTATAGTTAAGAAGAGGTTATGAAGCTATCAAATCTCAGCATAGTTTAACTAGTTAAGGTAACTACGTTCACAAGTAAAAATATTAGAGGTTTGAATATTCACCCGTGAACTCAAATACACGAAGAATTCTATGTTCTTGATCTTCCTCGTTTAAGTAAACAAATGTAGATGAAAATAGTGCATACCAAAGTCCAATAATGTCCAGGAATTTGGCTTCACGTCACCAGAAGGACTTCTTCCATACTTCTTCTCAGCAAGATCTCTTATCCGAGATCTGCATTACAAAATACAATTAAATAGTGAGTTTAAGCAATACCTTCATATGTAGAGGCAGTCAGAGAACAACAAACCAAGTAGTAGTACCCGATAGCATCGATCTGAGGACGAGAAAATGCCGTTGCAATAATGAAAAATCGGGTCCAATAGACTAGAGGTTTCACAAACAGAACACGGATATCGGCAGCCTTTACGTCGCTAGCAACTTTCGCCATTGATACAGCAACTGTAGAGACAAGTATTGTTAGTTTACCAGCCATTCCATGTAAAAGAGGTTTTGATATCACAATGTACATGCAAACGGTACGTGTGTATTATGTACCGATCGTTCACTCATGTGTAGGAGCTTGTGGATTTAGGTATCTATAAAGGATATTTGGGCTTACAACTCGGAAATGTGACAGTGTTGTGTCATTCTAATGACAACTTTTTTCTTTTCATACTTATTGAGAACTTGAGATAATGAGATCCTATATCGGTTGGGGAGGAGAATGAAACATTCTTTATAAGAGTATGGAAATCTCTCTTTAGTATACACATTTTAAAAACCTTGAGAGGAAGCCCGAGAGGGAAGCCCGAAGAGAACAATATCTATTAACGATGGGCTTAAGCCGTTACAAATGGCATAAGAGCCAGATACTAGGCACTGTGCCAGGACGCTGGCTCCTAAGGGGGTGGATTGTGAGATCCCACCTTGGTTGGAGAGGGGAACGAGACATTTTTTATAATTGTATGGAAACCTCTCCCTAGCAAATGCATTTTAAAACCGTAAGGCTGATAACAATACGCAATGAGTCAAAACAGACAATATCTGCTAGCGGTGGGTTTAGACTGTTACAAATGGAGTCAGAGCCAGACACCTGAAAATGTGTCGGCGAGGAGGCTAAGCCCCAAAGGGGGAGACACGAGGTGGTGTGGCGCAAGGATGCTGGCTCCAAAGGGGGTGGATTGGGGGGTCCTACATAGATTGGAGAAAGGAACGAGTCTCAGCAAGGACGCTGGACCCCAAAGGGGGTAGATTGTGAGATCCATATTGGTCGATTGGGGTGGAGAACGAAGCATTGTTTATAAGAGTATGGAAACCTCTCCCTACTTGACACTTTTTAAAAACCTTGTGAGGAAGCTCGAAAGAGAAAGTCCATCTACTGGCGGTGAGCTAGGACCGTTACACCTTTTTAGAAAAGCTTGTTCAATCCTTTCAGGATGAATATGAGTTCTCTCTCTCTCTTTTTCAATTGAATTAGCTAAGACTACCCATCATACTCGTAAGATGAAGCAGAGTATTTAGCAGCCAAAACACGACATGAACACAAAACATAAATCCACAGCAAACTTATGTCCATTTCTAGTTCTTGCTAATGACAGGAGAAGCTTACATGAAAGGCTTTCTGCGTCGTCATCAACTTCTGCAGTAGGAGGCTTTTGATCATCTCTCTTGAATACCACACTCCCATGTTTCTTGAACAAATCATCATACATATCATCCGTATCCTCGTTCATATTCTGCCACAAAGGATGATTGGGTCAATCAATATCATAACCACAAAAGTATCAAACATTTCCCTAAGAACTGATATCCAAATTTTGCATAGGTTTGGTAACAAATTTCATTTAGATAAGCTTCTACCCTGAATTTCAAGTAGCTTCAGCTTCCAGAAATCAAAGGGAAAGGTAACATTTCGAACAATCAAGTTCTCCCTCAACGAAAACCCAGAAAACCACACAACAATCTTCCAAATACATCAACAAAACATGATCCATATTGGTTCCGAAAAGTTCAAAACAAAAGAAATCAAAGCAACACTACCGATAAAAAGCTATCTTCAGCTTCTTTTCCGACGGCGAACAGCGGCGAAGACTCCATAGACTTCAAATGGAAGTTATTGGAAGAGGGTATCTTCCAAATGCAGTTTTGGGATGAAAAAGAGGACCCATTCCAACATGAGCACCAAAATTGTTTTCTGGGTCTGCCGGAAACTCCGAAATAATCATGACCCAGTTGCCGAAACTGGCCGCCAAACGAGGTCCCGGCGCCGGCACCGTGAAGAGATAAGACAATGGATAACGCCATGCTCGTTCCTACCTCGTTTCGTGCAGAGAGGAAACACTGGTACACCGTGGGGGAAGATATTTTAAAACATCTAAGCAGTATCAATTTCTCAAATCAATACTATTTATTCGGGTACTAACAAAAAAAATTATAAAAACCCCTTCAAAAAAAAAGATAAATAAATGTTCAAATATAAATATAAAAAATTTCCATGTCTTTTATACCTGTTCTCTCTTCATTTTTCTCCTTGTGAAACTATAAAATACCATCCAATTCCAAAAAAAAAAATCCTAAAATCAAAATTTTCCTTTCAAACTAGACAAAACGACAAAGAAATTTCATCTTCGATCAAGGAAAAACACATTACTGAATGTTGAAAATGTAATGAACATTGTCTGCCCAACATAAAAAGGCATTTCCTTGAAGGAGATGCAAACAATAATATAAATAAGAATTGTTTTTTCTAAAAAAAAAAAAAACAGGATATGTACAAGAGATTGGGAAGTGTACAACGTTAAATCTCCTAGATGATTGGGATTCATGTCGAAAAAACTGAAGCAGCAGCAGCAGCAGATGCATTTCAACTAACATATGGGTTAGATTTGGGGTACTCTACTTGGAAGTAAGGCCAAAAAGTTACAAGAGTTTATGCGAGAAGACAAAGAACAGAGGCTATGCTTTGCCTAAGCTTTGTGTTTTCAATAAGTTTAGGCAATCTTCCAACTGGTTGAGTGATTTCTCCATGGAACTATGCAGTTTAGGCAATGTTTGGAGCTCTAGCATGATGTTCTTCTCCATTGTTTGCTCCCTATTTTGTGGCCTAACTTGAAGGGGCTCCAGCTCTTTCTCCGTTTTGAGGAGCTTTCACAGAACAGCCCAGAGGCTAAAGCCTCCTGAAGCCACAGCTCAAACTCTTCCTCATCTTCATCCATCATTTCAGCGTCCAATTCCCAAGGAAATCTGCTCGACTTCGATCGTTGCGTTGTCTTCCCTAAACCAACCATGTTTACATGGAAGCTTGGGCGATGCGTATTGGGCCTGCAAGCCATTCCCTGCTCCACCAAAGTAAACACTACAACTTACATTCTTGAAGATCACAGCATGATTCTAGCTACCTATATAATTATGTACTACAAACCACTTACTTGACAAATCACCCATTCAGACACATCAAAGATCTTGCTCTCGGCACAAACGAACGCACGTGGTATATCCATCTACAAGGAAAAAGAAATTCATTCGTAATCAGTAAGACATAGATCAGAATGAGGGATCCTTGAAGCCTGAGACCAAGCTTGAGCTTAAGCAAGTCAAGGAACCTACTTTTTGAGGCTTATCAAAGACCAGTGAACCTTTATATTCGACCCACCCGTCTCCATCCTTAGCTTGATGATATTGACAACAATCCTGACATCAAAGCACGTATCAAAACTAATTTTATTCTCAAACGTAAAATTTACAGGGGTAGATTCAAATAAAGAGCTTGGGGAATAACCTGACACCATCTTGCCTTCGTCTTATTCCTATTCGTGCAGACCCATATGTGGGAATGTCCGCATTTACTGCACTGTATACGTCTCGACTCCTCTGAGCAATAATCGGTATTCATCTGCTTATAGAGTAAACTAAAAGTTACTAAAAACAAACAAGCTTCAAGAGCCACACAAAAGGATAAGAATACACATAAATCAAACTATAAAACGCAAGTACCGATGGTATAAAAATTATGCACGACCTGCTGTGAAGCCCCATAGGACTGGGACCTCTGACAGACACTTCTGGTCTTCGATTCCTCCTTTCTCAGTTGCTCGTCATAGTCTCTCTTCTTCACGGAGTCGGAAAGAACCTAATTTTCCATGCAAACATGGGTCAGAGATGATAAGGACCAGAGTTCTCAAAGTCCCTTTAAATGTTGTTTTTCTGGGGAAACTTTGACTTGATTCCATAAAAAGGAAATTACCTCATATGCACATTGAAGCTTCTTAAATGACTCGCTGGCCAAGGGGCTTCCCATATTCTTATCAGGATGCACAAGCACAGCCTAAAGGAAAGAAAACATTAACGTGTTATAGGTATAATTTCCATTAGAGATGATTCTATGAATTTTCTCTGATTCTATGAATTTTCTCGAGGGAGTTTCCCAGTAAGGAAGAATCTAAGCATTATAAGAAATATCTAATGAGTAAGGAAGAATCTAAGCATTATAAGAAATATCTAATGAGAGTGTGTGAGATCCCACGTCGGTTGGGGAGGAGAACGAAACACCTTTTATAAGGGTGTGAAAACCTCTCCCTAACAGACGCGTTTTAAAAACCTTGAGGGGAAGCCCAAAAGGACAAACCCAAAAAGGACAATATTTGCTAGCAGTGAGCCTGGACCGTTGGGCCGTTACCAAGTGACCCCAATAAGTGAATTACATAAAAGTGAGCATGAGAAACATATCACCTTTTTTCTGTATTCCTTTTTCATAACTATGACATCAATCTTCTTGTGACGTGGAAATCCCAGTGCTTCGTAATGGTCCCCGCTATTTAATATTCTTTTCATCTCGTCAATTGAGTCAGTCTGCTCTTTGGTCACCTTGCTACAAGATGCCTCTTTCTGGTTATCAACAACAGATGTCACGACAGTCGGGGTGGATGATTTACATGAATGCACCTTCTCGGACTCACTGGTAGGAATAGAGTACTCACTCTCTCCTGAGAATTCATCTTCAGATACTGTTTCAGATTGTTTCTGCTCTTCAAAATCTGAACTTTCACTCACCTTATCGCACCATTGGAGCAAATAATTTAATGCATCATTTGACAAAAATGCAAGATTTATAGAGAGAAAGACACCCGGCCATCCAACTCGAACTTTAACACAATATGTAGCATATACAGTTGCCATTAAGACCACCAACCGCGCATGATTAAGAGAGAACAAATAACCTATATATAAGCAAAGGATAAACAAAAGCTCAAATCAATTGACAGAACTTCAAGATTCATGTAACAATTTGATTGAAGTGGAGTACAGGTTCGTGCACCAAGAGCAATATAAATGTGCCACATCAAGAAATTATTGCATTACGGAGAGCTAAAACAGATTGGAATACTGGACCATCGTTAATAAACGATAGATGCAGACTATGGCTACAGAGAAGACACGAACCACAACGAAAGTTGGCTACTTGAACAGGATCGAGTAGACAACTTCGAACCACAATACTATTGAAAAATTAAAATCTCACAATGAAAGAAGTCCATACCTCCAACTATAAATAGTGTCCCTGTAATCCAAAAGTTAGCATACATCCACAGTATTAGAATAGCAAAGAGTCCGACGATAAAAAGTCCAGGGGTGTAACCCAAGTATTGAACAGCAACTCCTGCAGCTCCCTAAACAGTGAACTAAGAGCTATAAATATATTGAGATATAATTTCATTTCATCAGCCTATTGCACTATTGAACTAATTTAGAAGGAACCTTATGCAGCAACTTCACGAATTATTAAACGAGAAAATAAATCGATCATTGCAAACTTCCATTGCACTATAGACTACAAGGGTCGTCATTCAAAGAACAGGACGACACAGTACAGAAGGGAAACAGACGAGATCCCACAGTCAAAGAAGAACGTTTACAAAACGCTACCAATATCATATCGTTTCAACTAGCAACAGAATAATAAACCTCAAAACAACTCCAACAGTAATGTTTTCCACAAACTCAAATCTAATCTACAAAATGTAACCCCAATTTGATTGGACCCCTTTGAACTTAACTTATCAACTCTAGCTATCATTTCAAGCAAGTTTCTAGATCCCAAATCTGAAGCTCCCCGAATAATAGAAACAATATTTATCAGGAATTAGAGAGGTATATACCATACTGAGAAGAACATAAACCAAGCAGGACATGGATGTTAAACTAAGAAAGCAACTCCACATTATGAGGAGCAGTGCAGCAAAGCCTAATCCAATAAGCGACCTGAAGCCTTTTTTAATGCAGTCCCACCACTGTAGCACTGCTAAACGCAGTAAACTACCCATCCAGGCACAGCACCGGCACACCATTGGCCAATGTCTCTCTACAAACATCCCAACTTTGTCTCTGAAACTAAAAAACGCAATTTGAGCTCGCGAGTAAGTGTGTTTCTGCGACTGAAACCATTTCCATCCTTGTTTGAAAAGGCCTATATCCTCCATGGCAGCTACAAACCAAAATGAACCACTCACAGGTAGAGTCTTGTAGAGAAGCTGTTGCTATAGCTATAGATAACCATCAACGCTACCAAAAAACACAGTCTCCCCTGAGAATTGGGAAGTTAAATCCAAAATGCACGCCATGGTAATTGAATCAAAACCTTGATCTGCCCTTTAGACTACCACAAAAAAGAAGCCCATGAGACACTAATTCACGGGTTTCCAGCTGCAAGAGGATCCAGAAACTTCTTTTATGTAGAAACACACATTAAAGTAAGCAGCAACCCTTCGTAAAAAATGATGGAATGAGTTAAATTCAATCACGATAAGGGGCAGTGAGTTCGTTCAACGCAAATTGCTTCACACGTAAGTTTCCAGGAAGAAAATCGACACACGAAAAATAAAGGATAGCCAACAGAAACACTTTCCTGAGAAAAAGAGGAACAATCAAAAGATCCCATATACAACCATCCTTGAAAAATCAAACAAAAACCCAAGAAGGGCATTCAAAAGAGGAATATCTACGTCCCCTCTTTGGGCACGAGAATCAAGACACAAAACCCATCAAGGATGAGAAATCAAAAATCAAAAATCAAAAAAGAAATGGAACAAACGAACAGTATCAACAAAACACATTGGAAAGAAGGAGAAAAGAGAAGAACCCAACACGAGAAAAAGATTAATAGAGCACCGACTGGCAAAAGGGTACCATTCGGGCCCTGTAATCAAAGCTTTCAATGAGGGAATCAAAGTGAACTAATGTGGGTACTGAAGGGGAAATGAAACGAAATGAAACCCTAATTCTATCTCTCTCTTCCCTCCTTTCTCTCTTTTTTTGTTAGAAGCATAACAAAACTCATGAAAAAGGAAAGTGGCCTTTTGAAAAGTTAGAAAAAGAAGAGAGGTTGGAGCAGAGTTTTGGTCTTAAGCGGACGAGAGAGAAGAATTGAGAAGGATGGAGGGAGGTGATAAAGCCGGAAGTGGAGGAGAGCTTGCTTTACCTTTACATTAATGATTCTGTGGGAACCACTTCAGTTTTCTTGCTCATCTTATACCTCAAAAATTAATGTCATATTAATGTTCATTACATGGTTTTAAAATTTTATGAACATTCAAACATATTATAGTAAAATTATTTGTGTTTGGTTAAATGTTCAATTCTTTATTATATGAATTTTTTTTTTATATATAATTGTATTGGTTTAGCACGAGCAACACGACAATATTCAATCATACATGTCCTTGTTTTAAACCTAGTAGCTCGATGATAGGTATCGCTTAAAATTGGCTTCTTTTCAGCTCACAATGCTTTCTTTTATTAGTCAATATTATGCTTTTAGTAAATACTAGGTTAAATGATGAGTTCAATCATTCAACCTTCGTGTCTTAGGTTCAATAAATATATATTGTTAATTTTTAAAATTTCATGTCGAATTCCTCTCCAAACTATTTTTACAAACAAAAAAAAAAGCTTTTAAAAAATAAATAACAATCAAAAGTCAAATAGTTATCAAACAGGGCTCAAGAGCTCGAGGCTTAGATAGATCTATCAATATCATTTCGTTCCATTCTAATAAAGACAACTGAATCCATCCAAGCCACTTCGTTCAAATTTTGGAATCAATATATAGTTTTTAATTTCATCATCACATGCTCAAACATTTAAAGTATTGTATAGTTTGGACCTTATCCATTTGTTTTCATAGGTTTAAATTGTTTATTGGCATTAAACAAATATATAAAATTAAATAACGTAAAACCCATGTTAATTTATGAACTCGATACATAATTTAATTATTCATCTTTGAGATAGTACGTCGAATTGATAATTTATGATAATTAGTGTATTCTTGTTCCAACCTAAAATTAATTTAAAATAATCATCTCTATCTCCAACTAAACACGAGAAGAAGTATCAAAAGACCTGTGTTACTAAAACGACTATACGGAGATGAATTCAAATCATTTAGTAGTGAGAGAGTGTTCATAAGAGACTAAATAAAATGAATGGGAGGCATTGACATCCACATACGCATACAGCATACAGGCCGTCCCCGAAAAACGAAATTAGAATATAAAGATTGCATATTACTTGAATAATGATTCTAATAAACAGTGAGACGGGACGGAAATTGACATGAACATAACTTAACAGATCAAAACACCTTTTACCTAGTTAATGGTCGGAGCTCTCGACCTCCCACAAGATTGGAAGTTCAAGACAATATAGTACAGAAGCCTTCCAAAAACTCTTCCTACAAAAAATTTTTAAAAAAATACCAAACAATTTATATACTTATTGGCAAAGCGTCATTAAAGAAGAGAATAAATCAAATTGGCTCATCAGATGTTGCTATCATATCGTGCAGTGAAGGTTGCAGTTGTAACAGTTGAGGGTTCAGATGATGTTGTTGAGTTTCCAAGGGTGTTTGATCCAGAGAACAGACCATCAGACCCTTTATTTTCCTCTGGAATCTTTCCTCTTGGATCCATGAGGTCCGAAAGCAGCCCCGGTTTCGTTATCTTTCTATCTTCGACGCTCATCTCACCCATTAGCATCTTTACCACAGTCGACATCGATGGGCGGAGCTTCGGACTGTCTTGTGTGCAAAGTAGACCAATCTTAATATATTTACAAGCCTCCTCAGCATCGAAGTCGCCGTTCAACGACATATCTACGAGCAGAACGAGCGCTCCTTGCTCATAAAGATTCCATGCCTGCAACATCCAAACATAGATTTGTTCAACACATTGGTAACCACTGAGTGAAACGTGATCTGTTTGTTCTCCACAATAAAAGATCAGTGATCAAAAGATTTGTAAAGATGAATTCTATGATCTAAATCGAAACAAAACTGCAACATGATCGACTTCGAGTACTAAACGTCTTGGGCAAAGTTGAAACAATAAAACCTGCGCTTACCGTTTCGAGAAGATATTGCTCTCCAATTGGTAACTTCGTGTTTTTGTTGCATCTCCCGCTGACTATTTCCACAAGGAGGACGCCGAAACTGTAAATATCTGATTTTCGCGTCACCTGCCCTCTTATCGCATATTCGGGTGCCAAGTAACCACTAAACAAGCATGAACGTAAACGAAGTTAAAACGCGAATTTCCTCAACAAAGACAGACAAGCGAAATGAGACAAGATCAAGCCGATAAAAAGGCTGTTCTCAGGTAGGAAACTGAATTTTGGTTGTGTTTCTGTGTTCTCATGTCTCTATGTAAGTTGAAGGTTGGCAAACACACAATATTAACACAAAAATATTCAGCTGCACAACACAAATAATCGACCATCGACCGAAAAGAGCCACGATTCCACACACAAACCAACATAAACCCCAATGCCTCCTTCGAATATCCAATCGTGGTTTAATTCTAAACGATACAAAGCTAAGTGTATGCACAATCAACAAGTTCATAAGGAAATAGAGTGGCTTACATTGTTCCTGCCACTCCGGTACTGATATGAGACATGTTGGCTGGAACGAGCCTCGCAAGGCCGAAATCTGAAATCTTAGGAGTGAGATCACGGTCAAGAAGAATGTTACTTGCTTTGATATCTCTATGAATGATATATGGCTGTACATCCTCATGAAGGAAGGCAAGCCCGCGTGCAATTCCAATGCAAATCCGAGACCTACTTCGCCAATCAAACTGGAGACTACTGGAACCTCGCCCTGAAAAAAAGAAACAATAACTTGAGAACCGAACTGCTGCAATTTAACGGTACAAACTAAAGCGTGACCTCCCGAAAAGGGGACGCTCGAGAATGCAACTCTGGCATCCATTGAGAGAGAACTTGAAAGGAAATAGAATCAAGAATAGGATTCAGTTAGTACCAAGAAGAGTTTGTGCAAGGCTATTGTTCTCAAGGTAATTATAGACAAGAATTCTATGATTATTCTCCACACAGCAGCCATAAAGCTGAACCAGATTTTCATGTTCTATCACAGAGATGACTTTAGTTTCAGCCAAGAATTCCTTCAATCCTTGTCTCGATTGAGCCGAAAGAACTTTTATGGCAGCAAGCTTTCCATTTCTTAGCCTTCCCTGACCATAAACAGTAGTTTTCAAGGTTATAATCATGGTGAATGAAGGGAACGATACAACTTAGAACGGTCACGCCTAGAACACAAAAATTATAGTTAATGCAAAACGCGATATCCAGCTACCTTGTATACAGAACCGAAACCGCCCTCCCCTATTTTATTCGCTAAGCTGAAATCTTGGGTTGCAACTTTTAGCTCTTTGTATGTATATAGTCTAACATTGTGCATGCCTGAAAGTTCTGTTCCATATCAGAAGAATGTAAGAATTTCCTTACATTCCGACAAGAAACTCTTCAAATATGTCCAGACAACAATGAGGCTATCCTAAGATTAATTTACCTTCGTCGTTGCCAACACTTCCCGTTGGGGATTTCGCCCTCTTACCGAACAAAAAAGGGAAGCAAGTCATCTCTATATGATAAAACAGCAGCTATTCTCCGCTACTTCAAGGAATCTTATGACACTGAAACCTGTCAATGAAACAAGGTTTAGAAGGGCAGAACAAAATTGTAAAAGAATCTAAGGAAGTTGTTTATGTTCTAGCAAGAAGATCATCTATGCAGTGATCGTCCATGAAGGCAACTCTTGTACAGATTTCTACATATTTAGGGCTCAGTGAAATTTTTTGGACTGATACTAACCAAAAGAAATGGAAATCATCAGATTTTCCTTCACTGGTGATAAGATTCGAGAAGCGGCCATGAAAGATAATGGTAAGCATCTTCAAGCCAAGAACACTCCAGAGAAACAACTAATTTATAGGTTTCCTGAACCCAAAATCCACTTCTAATTTCAAGTTCATCGCCATCTAACAAAGAAAACTCAGTAAACCCAACACAGCAGATTGATCAAGCAACGAGATCCTTTCAAAACCAGCAAAAGAAAACGATTCAACAGCTAACCCAATTCACCTAGTTCGTTCCAAACTCCAAGAACAACAAAAGCAAATGAAAACAGAGAGAGCTTGCAGACTGAGAAAACAACAATCAAGCCAGAGCACAGAACACGATGATAACTAGAATTTGAACCCAAAACAACAGAAATCAAGAGATACCCATAAGAGAAACTGACCTTAGAAAGTGAAATGAGTAGAGAAACAGAAGGATTCGGAGCTATGGAACTTGAACATTAATCGCACGGAAGAATGAAAGGATGAGACGGGAGTAGAGGGCTCCGTGGACTTTTCTTTATAGCAACCATAGTGTTGGCATGTGGCTTCTTCCATCCAGGTACGCATACATCCCTTAGAAAATTCAAACGACATAGCTGCTTTAATCTTGACCCTGAACCCATTTTTCTTTTCCACAAATAAGCCCCAAATGGCTACATAAATTGTACCAACTATCAACCAATCGGTGAAATTGATTCATTCGTGGAGCGGTTGATCAAATTGGTACTCTATCGCAGTGTGAAAGGATGCGAGTTAAGTCTAACACACTCATTGAAAATGGAAAACAGGAAAAACGGAAGAATTTTCTTCTTCTATGAATTAGACATTATATTAATCAAACAAACCAAATACATATGCTTTGAACACGTATTTCAACGCACGCAGTCCCAATACATTTAAACTTTTTTTTTATCACTTATTATCATAAAAATAAAAAAAAAACTATTTAAAAACGCACTTAAATTTTAAATTTTTTTATTAATATTATTAAACTTTTTAAAATTTTAAAAAAAATTTTAAAGTTTTTTTAAAGAAGCGTCCCAAATAATTGTATCATTAATACCATATTTCAATAATAATAATAATAAATTTTCAAAAATAGAAATAATCTATAAAGTGTCCATAAACGTTCAGAAATTTTTTTAATTTTATTTATAAATATTAAAAGTGTTAATATTACTTTTAAAATATTATAGGTGTTTCTTAGACCTAGTAATAAATATATTTTTAAATTAAAAAAGTTGAATAAATTTAATAATTTTTTTTTTAAAATAGGGTTTTTTTTTAATACCATTTAGAAGTAAAATGTATTTTTAAAATAAAATTATCAACTATTTTCATCAAAATCTAATTTAATGATAACTATTTAAAAAAAAAATTAAATTATTATTAAATTTTGTCAAAAGTTAAAAAATATTATTGACTTATTTTTATTAATTTAATATTTTTCTTGAATTTTGTTAATAAAAAATTCGATTTTCTGGAGACGTGGACTAATGCAAACCACAAGGTCGTCTCCTTCAAATGGCAAAACTCCAGAGTCCGTAGCAAGTTTGCAACCACCGCCAACAATTTTCGAGGGAAAGTCGAAATTGTCGCATTGAGGAACACTAAAGCGCCGCCATGAGCTCCGTTCTGTCTAAAGTCGCCGTCGTGGGAAGTGGAAGTAAGGAACTCATCACCTTTCTCTCTCACGCTTTCTGATTCTGTAAGCTACTATTGCGTAATTCGATCATTGAACGAGAAGATTTTTGAGAAGTTGTGATGTGTTTATGGGGCAGTTTCTGGAGCCGCTTGCGCATGGAGTTTGGCCAGAAATGGCGTATCGGTTACCTTGTTCGAGTCTGCCAGAGGGCCTGGTGGAAGAATGTCCCAACGAAGGTGAGATCAATTTCCCCTCGTTTCTTGTTTGGACGCTTTCCGATTATTCGCATTTTTGTTTGAAAGAGATCGAAATGCCGAACGGGATTTGGTTTCTGCTTCTTGCTGAAATTCGACACGATCTCGTGAAAACTGTTTTATAATTTCGAAGAATGAGCGCTCTTAGCGTTTATGAATCGAAATGAGAGACATGAGAATGATGAACAGGAGCTATACAATAATGAGTAAAAGAAAATTTGATTAGCTTATCTGAAATTGTTATTACTTCCCATGAGTTAAAGAAGAATTATAATATTGTGACATCAGAAATTGTGTCTTAATTTTACTATTCGTCATTTGAAACAGAGAAATTGCAGAAGATGGGAAAGAATTGGTTTTCGACCATGGTGCCCCATATTTTACAGTTACCTCCACGGACGTATTGAGTCTTGTTCGTGAGTGGGAGTCAAAAAATCTTTGTGCTGAATGGAAAGAAAGTTTTGGGGTTTTTGATTGCTTTTCCAATCAATTTTCCAGCATAGAACAGGTTAGAACTCCACTGTTGTTCAAATCTTGTTGAATATTTGGTGCCATAATGGACAGTTCTTCATTTTGCTACTCTCCATTAAGTGCTTGCAGCTCCTTCGATCAATGACACATAAATGGGGAATGTAGCATAGCATAACATGGCTAGTTCATTGTTCTATTTCCTGTTCTGACATTTATCTAGGTTTTTGTGGGCATATATACTAGTTAAACTAAACCCACTTAATTTCTCTGACTACCTTGAGAGTAATTACCTCTTGATACATATGGATCAAAAGCAATGGTGCTCAATATCAAGTGTCATGTGCTCTCTTAAAGCTACTGTTTCACATATAATCCAAAGTTGCGAACGAACGCTGCAATGGACAAATAGTTAATGCATTTTTTTTTACTCTCTTATCATATCATGTCTTTTATGGGATCGGTTTGTCTGAGTGAATACTATTTAGGAAGGAGTAAGTGGCAGATATGTGGGTACTCCGGGCATGAATTCTATTTGCAAAGCGTTATGCCATGAACCCGGTATATAACCTATATTTTCTCTATTAATTTATGTAATTTAAGGTTTCAAATGAGCTTATTTTTCGACTTCTTTTCAGGCATGGAGAGCAAGTTTGGGGTAAGTGTTGGGAGAATGGAATGGTTGGAGAAAGATAACTCATGGTTGTTATTAGGCATCAATGGACAAAGTCTTGGTCAGTTTGAGGGTGTTGTTGCATCAGACAAAAACATAGTTTCTCCAAGGTTTACCAATGTAACAGGACGAGTGCCTCCTCTTGGTACGTTGCTTGTTCGATCTCATTTAGTAATGTGTTGCAAGTATCTCGTGTTCTCTTTTTTTTTATTGTAAGAGTGACTCAACTTGATTCCCTTCTATTTACGGAACTTTAGTGTTTAGTATGAATTTTCTTCTTCCTCCTCTCGCCTTCCTCCCTTCTCTCTCTTTTTCTCTTTTCCTTTTTCTTCTTTATTCTTTTGTTCGATATTTTACTACCATGTAAGATTAAAATAATTTATTGGAATTGCTTCTACAAAGAAGCAAAAAGTTTTGCTTTTGATAAACCGTGCTCGAGTATGTATCAGGTCCATCTGACTTTTTAAAATTATGCAGACCTTAATTTGATCCCAGATTTGGCAACTAAGCTGCAGAACATCCCAGCTATTCCGTGTTTTGCTCTGATGCTTGGATTTGAACAGCCTCTCACTTCGGTAATACTCCAATCTCACATATCCGTTTTATAAAGTCGTATGCAATTCCTTATGAATAATTTTTCGCCGAATCAATCTTACAGTTACAGAGACAATCTTCGTTTAATGTTCTTATTCGATAACCAGATACCTGTCAAAGGGTTCTCTATAATGAATTCTAAAGTTCTAAGCTGGGCTTACTGTGACAGCAGCAAGCCAGGGCGTTCGTCTTCTAGGTATGTTTATTACTGTCAAGAAAACTATCAGCATTAGCTGGTCAAGCAATTCATAATTTTTTTGATTGGTGCTCGATACTTTCGTTTTTGTTTGAATAGTGAACGATGGATTTTGCATTCAACCATGGAGTATGCTGAGAGAGTAATTGCCGAATATGGTCTCACTTTCGTTTTTGTTTGAATAGTGAACGATGGATTTTGCATTCAACCATGGAGTATGCTGAGAGAGTAATTGCCGAATATGGTCTTCAGAAACCTTCAGATGCCACGTTGAAAAAAGTGGCTGAAGAACTCTATCAAGAGTTTCAAAGCATCGGGCTCAGCATTCCCCGCCCGTTCTTCATGAAAGCTCATAGATGGTAAGCATCTGAATAAGAACCAACCGTTTGATCGTTAACTTTCACGTAGTATAGTTACATAAGCATCAAGCATTGTATGTATTATGAAATGTGAGATTCTTATAGTTGGGTTTATGTAGTAGTTCGTAGGGCACAAAGTTCGGGATAAACATAGCCTGAGCTGACTACAAGGGGGGGCTTTTTGCAGGGGAAGTGCTTTTCCAGGAGCAAGCATTGGCGGAGAGGAAAAGTGCCTTTGGGATGGAAGCAAGCGTGTGGCCATCTGTGGAGATTTTTGTGTTAGCCCCAACGTTGAAGGGGCCATTCTTAGTGGCTTGGCTGCTGCGTCCAAGTTCCAAAAGATTGTTAGCTATTTGTAATAGCTAGTTTTAATAGATCATTACAGTGCATTGAGAGAGAAACGTCGAGATAAACATAAACATAGTTCAACGGTCGAAGGTACGTATACTTTTTCTAGATCATTTGGGCAGTGACCTTGGGTGGCCTTCTTGCTGGAGGTGCTCTTCTTGTGTACAACACCGGTGCTTTGGGTAGTAAGACGGAGGAAATTTTGGTCGTTTTTTTCACATTAGTGTGTAGCATGCCATCATGAACAACAACATTATTATCAAGAAACCCTCCCTGTGATTATCCAAACAATTGAGTCATAAATGCTTGGTAAGATGATTCTTCTCTTTTCTTTATGTTTTCTGTACTTCAGATCACTATGAATTTCTTTCAAGCATTGGATTATAGTTTCAAATTTTTTATGAATTCAATCCAACAACGTTTTTAAGAGTTAGAGATTCAAGTTGCTATCTACATTTTCAGGTTAAAGAACGTTAGTTAGCGAGCATTTTTCTTCGGTTCGGAGGGATCATTTGGGGATCACAATTTTCAACCATTTGAAAATATTTGTCTTTACAACCTATCAACTCGACTATTCGAGTCGAGTTATCATATTATTCGAGTTGAGTTATCAACTTATTTGATTAAGTAAATAAAAATTTCATAAATATCAATTGAATTGATATTTAATTAAGATGAGTTAAACTAAATAAAAGTTTTATTAAGTTTTATCAATTTAAAATTAGTTTGGGTGTAATTAAACCCACAATAAAAAAAACTGATAAAAAAGTGGGGGGAGAAAACCCTAATTTTAGAAGAAAAGGTATTGAAAAAAAAGCTCAAATTTTTAAATCAGTGGGTCAAAATTGTAGTAAATGTTGGTGTAAATTGTAGTTTGTAATCTATGTACCATGGTTTTCCCCACCTTAGCGCCCTAATTACGAACATGGAGAGTTTTTTGTTGGCGGAGGAGACCCCTGAGCTTTAAACGGATGTCACTACCGGCGCTGCTAAATCCTGATCTTAAACCCTTTTTCTGCTCACCGCCGTTTCACTTCATCAACCAGTCTTCAAACCTGTTCCTTCCCATTTTCTCGCAGCATAAATGAGTAGATCAATCGGAAGAAAGGTTCCAGGTCTTTCTTTTCTATCCAATGCCAACAAACTAGGCTTTGTACCATTTTCTTCTTCTTCTTCTTCTTCTTCAGGTGGTCATGGCCGAGGTCGAGGTCGAGGTGGCTCTCCCACTCATGGTGGACCCTTTGATTTCTCTTCTCGAGTTCCGGGTCAGGAAGATTCAAATGAGTCTAAACATGAATCTGTAGATTCTCGTGGTACTTCTGGGCTTGGACATGGCCATGGTAAACCTAGTCCTTCCTCCTCAATTCTTCCGTCTCTCTCTTCCTTTACGCCCTCTGTTAAGTCATCGTTTGCTGGTCGAGGAAGAGGTGATGGTTCACAACCGATTCGGTCCCCTCCTGAATCGCGTTCATCGAACGAGTCGGATTCGGAGCGTACGAAACCTGTGTTTTTCTCGAAGGATAATGCGGGCGACTCAGCTGGAAGTGCCCGACCTGGTGCGTTAGACAGGGATGTGGGGGAGAGACATTTGCCTGATAGTTTCCTTTCTGTGTTATCCGGCGCTGGACGAGGAAAGCCCATGAAGCAACCTGTCCCGGAAGCTCAACCAAAGCAGGAGAATCGTCACCTCAGACCTAGACAAGAGGCGGGTGGCCGTGGAGGTTATGGGCCTGGAAGGGGTAGTGGCGGCGGCCCTAGAATTAGCCGTGATGAATCTGTGAGGAACACAGGTAGGATGATGCCAAGAGGCGGGCCTGATGGTGAAGATGGTGGAGGTAGAGGGAGAGGCGGATTCCGGGGCAGAGGAGGAAGGTTCAGAGGGAGAGGAAGGGGAGCATTTAGAACTGGGGAGAGAGGGCAGAGAGGAAGGGGTCAAGATATGGAGGATGGATATGCATCAGGGCTTTACTTAGGCGACAATGCAGATGGTGAGAAGCTAGCAAAGAGGATTGGTACTGAACATATGAACCAACTGGTTGAAGGGTTTGAAGAGATGAGTGGTAGAGTGCTGCCTTCGCCACTGGAGGAAGGGTATGTGGAGGCGATGGATACGAATTATATGGTGAGCACTCCCTGTATCATTTTTTGTACCTGTTTTCCTTCCCTGAGGACATAAAGAGAATTGCCTTTAAGGATTAGCTCTCAACTGTTTTGACATGGTTTGTAAATTCACCGTTTTTGTTGTTTGTGATAGGGTGATAAGTTGAGTGTGTTTGGTTGAACTAATAGAAATCTGACTCTGCTTAATTTATCTTGCAAAATGTATAGATCGGGTTATAACTTGGTGTTGATTTTTTTTATTTATGGCAGATAGAGTGTGAGCCGGAGTACTTGATGGGAGATTTTGAAAGTAACCCTGATATTGATGAGAACCCACCTATTCCTCTTCGGGATGCACTTGAGAAAATGAAACCTTTCTTAATGGCGTACGAAGGCATCCAAAGCCACGAAGAGTGGGAGGTATCTTTCTCTGTTACGAAGTCTCCATGTTTTCGTTCCTTTGTTCTTGGGTCTTCTCTACTTGATAATTTGTGCTTGGCCTTTGAGTGAAGTGTTTATATGAGTTATTTTTGTGGGTTCTGAGCATTGATGAGAACATCCACTATACTTCATTTACATTTTGTTTTTCCAGGATCTGCTATTATAGATGTTATTTATCTTATACATGTAGAGATGCAGAAGTGCGACAAATTATAGAGATTATTTATATTACTTGTTTCTACTTGATTGCGTTTTCCTTGGCTTTTACTTCTATATGGGTATTTTTTAGATGACATTTTTGAGATTGCATCAATAAGTTTGCTCAAGGATATTTATAGGGGGGGGGGGCGTTTTACTGCATTGCAAATATGCTTTCAAGAACAAACATATCCAAATTGGCTAATTATGCAAATTTTTAATTAATAAATATTGTGATAACGTCTAAAAGTTAACCTACTAATGTGAACTTGGGTTGGTTACTCGACAATGAAGGATTGAAAGACAGGTCGATTAAATATTCTGGTTGTAGTTTCTACTGATTACTTTTATTACTCTAGAAAAAAGAAAATCAGCTTTTATTTAGAAAAATGAAAGTAGTTCAATAGAAATGGTGAGGCATGGTGTTAACTCTCCTCAAGATGACCAACGACTTTAGTTAATGTTAGTATTGTATTTTGATCACATTCTGCTGTTTAACCATGCGAGTTGTGACAATGTTACTTTAGTAGACAAAGTGGTAAAATAGTAACCAAAGCATTGTTTAGGTTTATGGGTCTGATACGTGTATAAGGGTGGTGTACTGTAGATCGGATACATTCTCTTGTTGTTGTTAGGAGAGTGGTTGTCTGGTTTTGAAGAGGTTAGACTAATTCACTTCTAGTCAATGTTCTATTTATTTGGGTTGGGGATCCCATTTCCTTGGGTCCATTTCCTTTTAGGTTAAATATTCATTCTTTAAATCATCCTTTTCTTATTGTATTGGATGGAGTGTCAATATGAATAGGAATCAGTTTGGATTTTGGTTCACAATGTGCAAATTACCTCGCTCTAGTCAGATTTAAAGGATTGCAACAATAATTTATTTAGGGACCCCTAAAGTTTAGGGAACATGAGGTGTTGGATAGGATCAAGTGTTTGGGTAGTTTAGATTAGGATGCTTTTGGTTTGTACCATCTCCAATTTATGAATGATATGTTATTATTCTCTACCATGGATTCTATAGCTCCAAGCAATCTGTTTGATATTACTAGTATTTGAATCCGAACCATCATGGATTGACCTAGTGCTTGTAAGGGTCTTGGGAAAATAAGAGAGAATGGTTGATCCATTATGGTCACCTATCTAGAATTTAATATCCTATGTGTTTCCATGTCAACCAAACTCATTCGAGACTTCTTTTGGAAAAGCTCGAAAGATAATGGTGGTTTACACAACGTTAATTGGGAGAAGACTCTGCTGGCATGATTCCTGAATCATCCAAGACTAATCTGTACGCACTTGACGGTAGAGCAGGTTGAAGTAGAAGTACAGTTTGGGGAGTTGTTAGGAAGGGAGAATGAACGTAGGAGGCAAAAAAGCAAAGGATGGGATAGGAAGGGTAATTCTAGTATTTTTTGTTCCCATAGAATTGCAAGCTTTAAAAGAAACAAGTGTTATTGAGTCTCTTGCATGGAAAGGAGATTTATACAAAATATGAAAAATTCATTCATAGTTGAAAATATTTATCAAAATAAAAGTTTAATCATAGCCGTTAATTATTAAAATAAAGAAAAAAAACAGTATACTTGGCCCAGATGGGTTTACTATAGCATTTTGGTGGAGAATTAAGCTTGAATGAAATGTTTGGGTTCAAGTGGAGATCTTGGTTGTGGAACTGCATTAGGTTTCTTAACTATTCACTTTTGTAAACGGTAAGCCTAGGAGTGGATTTTTGCCTCTACTGAGATTGGGCGGGAAACTTTATTCCCTCTTCTTGTGCTAGTCGATGGTGTCGTCCTTAGTAGGTCACCTATTTATTCTCATTATTGGCGGGTTAGTTGTGGTCACGGTCCGATGGAGAAACAGAAACTTCTGATATCCCCTATTTACTCTCCTTATTGGCTGGTTAGCTGTGGTCATTTATATTTGTGTCTTGTGTGGTACTTATATTCTTGCCTTCTTGAACAATCACTTTAATTTTGTTAATGATGCCTTCTCGTTATATTGATGCGCTCCATATATGGACGGTTCTTCTTCTTCTAACCTTTTGGTTTGTGTGTACAAGGAAATTGTGGAAGAAACCATGCAGAGGGTTCCGTTGCTGAAGGAGATAGTTGACTCGTACAGTGGACCAGATAGAGTAACTGCAAAGCAGCAACAAGGGGAGCTGGAAAGAGTTGCAAAAACACTTCCACAAAGTGCACCTAATTCCGTAAAGAAGTTCACCAATCGTGCAGTTCTTTCTTTGCAGGTTAGTGAAACCATCTTAATAGAGGACGTTTTGTTCTGAATTACGTTTTCAAAAAGATAGAAAAAATCGTAGAAATGCTTGTACACTATGCCTGGTATACTGTATCCCCAAGTACATTGTTCTTGGGAATGCAAGAACACTAAGTTTGTGTAGTTGAGAGATTCTTTTGTGGATCGTGAACACTCCTTACTTGTATTTGCAGAGCAACCCAGGGTGGGGATTTGACAAGAAATGCCAGTTCATGGACAAGCTTGTGAGGGAGTTCTCCCAGCGATACCAGTAGAGGAGGGAGGGTACCATGAAGGACATCAGCTACTACTTATTAACTGGGTTTATTACATGTTTTAATTTGAGGTCATGAGATATTAGAAATTTTAGCCCTTTCTGATGTGCGAGAGAGGATGCTTTTTTATAGTCTATAATCTTGTTGCTGCAAGAGTTGTATGATTGCAGCATTGTTGAAGAATTGGTTCACAATAATGGGTGTTTCTTTTAAATCAACATGCTGCCCTCTGAATTTTCCTTTTAATCATCATCATCATCTCTTTGCTGCCCTTGCACGCACTCTTCAGTCTATATCAATTTTTGTGCTTGTGACCATTTTTGTTGAGTTCTTGAGCAAGGTGATGAATCGGTTTAACTTCAACTCCACCCTACCTGCTCCATTCAAACAATATTATTGGCGTGGTTTCCCATACGAACAAAGGACTCCAAAAAGGAAAAGGAATCAAGCCTCCTCGAAGGTACGAAGGCAGTAAAAAATGACTAAGACTCCAAAGGAGTCGAGCCTCGATTAAGGGGAGGTGTTGGATGATGAGAAGGATCATGGGTTTATAATCAAAGAATATTGCCTCCAGTGTGAGGTCTTTTGGAGGAGCCCAAAGCAAAGCTATGAGAGTTAATGCTCAAAGGGGACAATATCATACCATTGTGGAGAGTCAAGCAAAGCTATGAGAGTTAATGCTCAAAGGGGACAATATCGTACCATTGTGGAGAGTCGTTCAACTAACATGCTCCTGTTCCTTCTCAATATTATTGTATTTATCAGTCCTTTTAACCATTTCCTGTTCCTTCCCAATATTATTGGATGAAATATTGGATGAAATTAGCATGTTTATGTTTATATTTTATTAAATAAAAATTATATTGAAAATAGAAATTATCTATTGAATTTTTTTAAATTAATATATATTTTAAAATATATAAAAAGATTGGAGACAAAATTTTTTATGGACGACTAAATTTTCATAAATTTTAAATTTTCTAAGTGAATCTATCTTTTTTCTCGCAAAAATAAATAGAGAATATTGCTGGGTGAATATTGAAATAGGAGGTGGGAACAAGAACTCGAGAAAGCTTCTCCATTTCTGCTCCATCCCTACGAACATCTCTATCACGGGTCTATTTGTACAAAAAAAAAAAAAAAAAAAAAAA